CTGAAGTACGCGATCTCTACATCTTTTAGATAACAAATTTTTGCAACGGAAGTACCGCATTTCAGCTTGAGTCTAATTTTTGTATAAAATAGCCAGACATTTAAAAAGGCAAAATATTTGTAGCAGTGGAAGGTGTTTTTTTGCTGCTCCCAGTATGTGAGATCATCCTAGAATATCGTTAACAAGAGGTACCCACGGTGATAGCCCACACGGTCTTGATATTCTTGGGAGGATGTTTTCAGCCTCTAAATGCTGAAGGCTTGTAGTGATAAACTTGGTGTGTTTAAAGAACTGCAGCCGAAACCTCCTTAATTCAATGCTAAAAAGAGGAAAAAAGTGAAATTCTTCGAACGAAAACGAGAAAGGTCTTCCACGGAAAAAGTGTTGGTGGTTATCTGAAAGAAATATATACTCTGATTTCGATTGATTTTCTTCCTGTGGCGTCATATCTTACATATTTCCCCAGTAGCCAAAAAAAACGGTAGTTATTTCAGAAAGCTGTGGACTCCTAACTATAATACTCAACGTCGCAGTTGGGTTCCCTCGAGATTCAGCTGTGACTTTGAGTTAAGGAGTCCATAGCTTAATGGATCGAAATGTCTTGGCTCCTGTTTTCAAACTGACTTCATTTCTTTTTTCTGTCCCCCTCTCCTGCCCCATTCTTGTCTTTTTTCCCTTGGTCTTTCTATTTAGTTTATACCTCTGTGAGCTACTGGAACTAATTTGGCAAAGTTTCTGAAAGTGTCGGTAAACGTGAAACATTGTGAACTATGATTTTAGCAGTGCGCCAAGGCAGCAATCCACGTTCGCGAGACGCAGTGCTCAAAACTGGATCTTTTATCAAGTAACAAACACATGCAGGAGCACGAGAGATGGGTTCCAGCGGCCAGCAACCATCAGGCTAGTGAAACTTCTCCACCAAACGCGATTAGATGCAGTAGTCACTATAAGTCCTCACTGCTTTCTCTGATTCTAGTGTGTTGTAATGTGCCGCTCAGCAGAAACCGGGGAGGAGAAGGAGTTGCGGAAGATGAGCGATGGTACGCCATGTTTCATCGAGGGATATAATACATCAGTTTGCATGAATGGCACTTGTCAGGTACATATCATCGAATTCAGTTTCAATTGTTGCTCCACATATTTAGTATGGCCAAATTTTGTCTCAAAATAATTACACTAGTTTTGAAGCAAAAATTCTGTCACTGACGCTTGATGGACAACTTTTTCAACACGTTAGTTGATCAGTCCTGAAAGAATATGTTTTCTTTTCATATTTTTACTCAGCGATTTCTTTGCTGCCAAAAAGTAAATATCACATAGCGGTTGGCGGTCTCGTAAAAAAGCGGCTAACATGGTCATTTGGGAACTCATAGGGGACATTTAAATACAACCACAGGCCGATTTGTTCATTTCTTCTGGCCAAGCACTTTGATCTCGTCCAGGGCAATTACTAAAACTCGGCTCGGCTCGGCTGGTGTCTTACACGATCAGCCAAAAATTTTTTGTA